TAAAATTATTATTTGGTGGGATTGTGATCTGGTAATGAGATATCAAGAATTTATGTTACTGCTAAATGTACCAGTGAGCCAGACTTATAAATTTTAAGCAGTTCTGAGAATTGCTTTAGTACACATTTATATTTTTAATGGTGGTCAGAACTTGGAGGATAGTACAACCAAATAAAATTTATAAGGCAGCCTTTATCTCCACTTATGATATATATGCTTTAATGTAAAAAACTAAAAAATCCTTTACTTCCTTGCTCACTGGAGCAGGAGACTTGGATAATCAACAGGATACTTTGCCCCAGAATCGTTCTGTGACTGGTTGAAGCAGTGCCTCGGCCTGATTTTTAAAAGACCACAAACTGGAGCTGTGCTAGCCAAAGGGAGAGCATTTCTTCTCTCCACACTCTCTATTAGTAAAGTTTGTGTTGTCTATATGTGGCTTGTTAATGATAGGGGTGTTAACGACCACAGTTAATCTTCCCTTTGTAACTCTTTTCTGATCCAGTCTCTTAAACAGACATTTAAAAAGCTCTTAACTCCTCTTGAATTGGGTGCTCATGGGCTTTTGGTGGAGGTGGAGTGATAGTTATCAGCCCATTTAACAAAACCTGAGACAGCCAGGACAGCTGTAATGTGCATCTCTATGCTGTGTTTTTGTTAAAATGCCACATGGCTAATACTTTGGAAATCATAAATCTAGTGGAAGAAAACATCTTTATAGAGGGTATTTAGGTTTTATGCAGTATGTGTTACAAACCTAAAACCACTGGTACTTCTAGATCCGTAAAGAGGGAAGACCCGGATTAAAATGGTTTTGTAAATTTGGTTTCGTTTCATCTGTTTTGTTACGATATACTAGATAAAGGACATTTTCAAGACAAGGCTGTAGCTGACAATTTAATCTTCACCTAAGCCACGAGCTTTCCCCAAGGGTGGTAGGAGAGAAATAGGAATTTCTTAAGCCCGGGCCTACTGAAGTCACCCCCATCAGTGGCGTATTTAATTAATACACATGATAGGAAGCTTTGCATATGCCCTCACCTACTCTTTAGAATGGCTTCTTTCTGGGGGCTTTTGCCTTCTTAGTGGGCTTATAAATTTATATTGAAACTCTAAAATGAAGAGAGAGTTCAATGATTATTTTAACAATTGGTCTGACTACCTCTTCCAAATAGTTTGGTGAGGCAACTTAACCAGTTATTTTCTATGACTTTAAATAATACAAAGAAAGCTTAGAGAAAGATTTAGAATTTATATATATATATAGATATATGCTTTTGCTTATAAATAGTGATGAAAATAAAACGTGCTACACATGAAGATCTAAAGTCACCAAGACAGCTGGCATTGAAAAGTAGTAACTAAAGGGGCTAGAGCAGAGCCTGAACTAGACAGAGCAGATACCAGAGACCCCATCCCGTGTGGGTGGTTCTGGGGTTCCAGGATGAATTGGTTAATGCAAATAGTTAACCATCATCTCTTCTGGTTTTCCCCAGATTTCTGTAATTTCTGGGGACTGGCAATTTCAACACATTTTTTTCTTTTATCCTTATAATGTGTGGGGTTTTTTGGTCCCTCTCTTTCTGCTTCACCTTCTCACCCCTCCCCCTCCCCCCCCTTTTTTGGAAGAGTCATCTGTTAAAGAAGTCTCCTGTCATCCCCTTGGAATGTGGGTTCTGACTATGCCTGACTATAATGCTCTTTGATGTTTTCCCAAGGCTGACTTCTCACCAGATCCCTGGTTTAGGTGTTTTTCCCTAGCACTCAGAGGCCTATAAGGTGAATTTGCCTTGTATCCTTGATGTGAAGGACTGGTGGGGCCTGCTCTTTTCTTGTGTCCTTATAGGCAGTAAAAATTGCCAGAATCTATCAGTAGTTGTTGATACCTTTACCAGAGAGTTCCTGTGTATGTTCAGGAAGGAGCTGAGAGCTATGACGGCAGAAAGACTCTAGAAACTTGAGAAGCTGCTCACCCCTTCCTATGGAGATTTCCACACTGATAAGGTTTCACTCAGAAGTTCATCCACTTTTCCTCCAGCTTGGTATCGGGATTCTACCTTAATCACTTCATCATCCTGCCAGCCATGTCTCATTTCTCATACTGGGACGCTCCCTCCTCCCAAGCCCAGCGTGAACCACCAGTCTTGATTCTTTATCTGGTCCAGGCTCTAGCCCTTAAATTGTCCATCTGGCTTTGTGTTTCATTTGACCCTAATACACTGGGTCGCGCTGTCTAAAAGAGAATTATGTCCCCTCCCATGTCTGAGTGCATTTCTCATTTCTTACTGCTGTTCCCGAGCAGATCTGTAACTTCAAGGTTAAGATAAGACACATTCCATCAGAACTATGTCGTCATCCTTGCCAGCTTCTGATCTGTGACTGTCCAGGAGATTTACAAGACAATTGCATGCCATTCTTTACAGAATATTATGGTTGGACTCTGACTCCTGGCATCAGGCCCAATTTGATTTGTCAGCTGTTATAAAACCCATTTCCAAAAGAATAAGGGTTCTCAGCCATGTGCCCTTTAGGCAGTTCTTAAGAGTGGAAAGGAGGGAATTGATCTGACTATTCCCTGATGTTTTAGGGAGGGAGATGGACTCCAGAATATTTTTGTCCCTTCCTTGAATTCACTTTTTTTCTGAAAGGTTAGTGTTGCTCTCATTCTTTCCTGTCATTCATCCTGCTTCATAGAATTACCATTAGTCTTTTCATAATGCCATCTCCAATGCTTTTCTGAGTTTTAAGGCGTAAGAATAAGTATTTTACCCTTGAGAGAGAATGTACCTGCCTGTCCTCTGAAGGTTTATTGGTTTACCATTGCCTAATTAACAAAGACACTGTTCCTCCTTTCTTGCTACTAACATGTTGAGCTGCAGGAGTTACTGCATGTGATATGGTTTAACAGCTTAGGAATTTGGAAGGTCACATATTTCCTGCTGTTGTGTTCGGCCCTATAATATTTTTACAAAAGCTTCACTTTAGGGGTCTGAAACAGCTCTTTGGTTTTGACATAAACTTACTCTTTCCCTAGGAGGTAGGCAGTGGGGATTTATTTGGCCCATTTTAATGATTCGAGTTAGATCTAAAATTTATTTACTCAAGATCACACATGGCAACCTAATCACAGAAGCAGAACCCTGATCTAATTCCTTTGGCATTGTTTTCATATCCCTGTTAAACAAAAAATTTTAACTTCCGCAGCTGAAAGAAAGGGGTTTTTAGGCCATTGCCAGCAAAAAAAAAAAAACACCAGACCGATCTTGGGGCATTGAGTCTAAACCACCAGCATCACGGCTAGGTAGGAAAGAGAACCTATCTGTTGTCCCGGAGTTTTGCAAGTGTTTTTATATATCAGGCAGGGAGGAGAATGATGTAAACCCTTCTGAAAGGATTTACATTAGCTATAGACACACGGCTTGGGAGAAGGCTTGGGAGAAGGTGAGCCGGGGCTAGTTCTGGGATAGGTGTGGTAGAGTCCGCGAGGAAGAAGTGTCCGCTCCTCTGGATTAGTTGTGGGCAGCAGGTTGGAAAAGTTCATGTATAAATTAGAAGGCGAAGGCTCCTGAGATCCTGTGTCTGGCTGTTCTCTCTCTTGGATAATCTCAAAAATAGCCACCTGGAAATTAATTCTAAATTCCAACAGATATACAGGAAATATGAGCAGTTTTTTGTCAGGGCTGGCCCACAGCTATTAACAGGCTGTTTGTTCTTTTACTCTGGCTGCTGTATTTGTTTTAATTTAGAACATCTCAGATTTATTTTTCTTGTCATCCCTTAACTATGAAAAGTTAAAGTTAGGAAAAGTCATAAAAGGCAAATTTTACGCAGATTTCCTTATTCAAAGTTGAGGAAATCCTCTGTACTCGAAAACTGTCCACTTTGCTCTCATACCTCACAATTTCTAATGTCCGACCACCAAAATAGTCACCGTTCTCTGCTTGTTTTTCAGTTGGGTTGCTTTTTGTCCCTTTTTCATACTGTCCTGTGGCAGCCACCTCTGTTTCTAAAGACACATATCTGTAAAGCAGAGCTCTCTAAAATGTTCTTTAGGGCCAGGAGAAATGAACATTTGTGGGACTGCAAATCTCTAAATATCTCTCCTTTATCTCAGTCTTCCTTTTCTTAAATATTAGGGATTATTGATATGTGGAATTTTTAATTATATATTTCAGATGGGTAGTAACTTAAAAATTTGTTTCATAACAAGATTAATGAGAAGTGGTTTTAACAGTAATGGTTGTGGCTGGTCTGCTCTCCCCACCCTTTTAAAAAAACTACTTAAAGATTAATTCTTTTTTTTTTGGTCTACCTATAATTTCAGTGGAAAGTTTCTTTGGTAGTGCTTCAAAGCTCTGGGTTCTGTTTCTGTATCTAGTAATCTCCCAAAGAAGGAAAGTTGTTTAGTATCTTTGAAATAGTTCCCTTCCCCCTTTCCTGTTAGCCTCCCCCAAAGCAATTTTAATTAACTGTTCAGTGACAGATGGTAGAAGAGGCCTTGTCTAAAGTGCTTCTGGTGGGCTGGATTGGGCTGGGTGGTTTGTACGGATCCTGTTGTAGAAGGATCTAGCCTTTCCCCTCCCCCTTACAGTTCAGCTATAATCCTGTTAGATCTTAAAATGCTATTGATTAATTCCCAGTGCTCTTAGAGGAAGGAAAAAGCACAAGTTTTGGATTTAAAACCCAAGAACCTATTCCCTTGAGCTCTGAATGTCTTAGCCTTGAGGCCAAGGGTGGTACCCTCCAACTTCTCCACCCAGTCTTCACTGAAAAGGAAAGTTAAGGCTTTTAACTTTTCAGTTTGCCTCTCCCCCTTAGTCTAGTACTGCTGCCAGTTGCCATGGCAACGGACTGGGACAGCTGCGCAGTGGCGCCCAGGCAGCTGGGTGGGGGCGGGGGAGCTGCCAGCCCGCCAAGCCCCAGACCTGGGAGGGGAGGCCCCTCCTGTTAGCCCAGAGGGAAAGAAAGAACTGGGGCGATCCGGTAGGTAAAAGAGGGAGCCCCCATTCATTTTCTCCCTTTGGGGCGCCTCTTCTGCATGAAGGTATAAAGGGAGATTTTCCTCTTTTCTCCCTCAAACTGAAGAACACATATGTAAATCCTTGTTTTTCCTCGTGAGGCAGGGGAGGCCATAGCCACAATGCTTAACTGCATGCATCTAACCCAGGGCTGGTTTTAACCCCAGCGCTCTGACCTAAACTGCTCAGCTCCCGGAAATTCCAAGGTGAGTGGGGGTGGGGTGGGATATTCTCCCTGGAATATGACATTTCCTGTCTCTGGTGAGGTCGGAGGCTGTTTTTATTTTAAATAAATCAAATATTTTTTTCTTGAAGCTTAGGACTCTTCTAAATTTATGGAAAAATCATTTTGAAACCCCTTATCTACATTCTCCTGCCCACCTCCTCTTCTGAAAAAAGTATTTTAATGAAAACTTAGTTTTATTACAGGGCAGTAATGGGTACAGACAATTTTTTGGTGTGCAAACCTATTGCTAGTAAGTTCTGGAGATCTGGTTTCCAATATACTTAGAATAATTCCTTAAATTTTGCTAATTTGAAGTAAATGATAAATGCAACTTTTTATGCTACTTGTCTTGAACAAAATTCTGAGATTAGTAATGGCCTTCCTTAATCCTGGGAGTGGTTTTCTGGTCAAGATGGAAATATTTTTATAGAGTGCTGAAAAATCTTTAAAGATTACAGCAAAACAAATATGGAGTTCAGCTAAGAAAAACAATTCCTGCTCCTCTGTAATCCAGACTGTAGGCACCATTTAGCATGGTTAAGGAAGAATTCTTAAAAATGATTATGGTAACAATGTGGGAATTCAAAAAACCTAGATTCTCTTTGAGTACCCCCTGGTTGTGCATATTTCTGAGCTTAACTCAATTTCCATTTGTGCTGCCTTGCTTCAGCTTTCCTTGGGCCAATGAATAGCTCCACTGTGTTTTGAGGCTTCATGTTGATGTGAGTCTGGGGCCAGACTTCTTTTTCCTCCTCCTCTTCCTTTGGCCCAAAGTCAACTCCAGTTAAGAGGAGAGGGTACCTCCTTAACTATTTGAATTAGTTGAACCTTGAGAATTATTGAACAATCCAATGACTAATTTTAATTTTACCACTAAAAAATTTATTCTCCCTGCCTCCCTCCCATCCACAAATGTAAAAGGAGGCTTAGTGTGTTTGAGATGTCAGCCTTGCTTTTGTGAGCTGATGGATGCTCTGAAGAGACAAGCTCAAGTTGTTTAAGGGAAATGTACCGAGTCACTGAAAATGTGGTGAAAGATGCCTGAGAAGGCCTTTTTTTGTGCTGCTAAGAGACCAAATAGTCAAGATGTACACAGCAGAAGAAAGTTAAATTTTCGTGGATTTTCTTTTTTCATTTTTATAAAGAACCTTATTCACCTTGGAGGGAAAGGTTTTACTTCTGTCACAGTTCTTTGAACTGCAGGTCTTCCACATTTTTCTTTGAGTTTCTGGCTTGTAGACAGTTATAGAAGTAGCCAGGAATAACATACCACACTACCTATCTTTTGGAATCTGAAATTAGAGGAGTTAGACAATTGTGCCATCTAATTTTGGTCTTGTTAGCTGAAGGGAAAGTTGGGATTGACATATATATATATATATATATATATATATATATATATA